CTACTGAGTCATCTACTACTGATGCACCAACAACAGAATCATCTACTACTGATGCACCTACAACTGAATCATCAACTACTGATGCACCAACTACTGAGTCATCTACTACTGATGCACCAACTACAGAGGCATTGACAACTGAAGTACCAACAACCAAATCTTCTACTACTGATGCACCAACAACCAAATCATCTACTACTGATGCACTAACTACAGAGGCATCGACAACTGAAGTACCAACAACCGAATCTTCTACGACTGATGAACCAACTACAGCAGCATCAACTACTGAATTACAAACAACAGAACCATCCACTACTGACACACCAACAACAGAATTATCTACTACTGATTCACCTACAACCGAATCATCTACTACTGGTGCACCAACTACTGAGTCATCTACTACTGATGCACCAACGACAGAAACATCCACTACTGATGCACCAACAACAGAGGCATCGACAACTGAAGTACCAACAACCGAATCTTCTACGACTGATGAACCGACTACAGCAGCATCAACTACTGAAGTACAAACAACAGAACCATCCACTACCGACGCACCAACAACAGAATTATCTACTACTGATTTACCTACAACCGAATCATCTACTACTGATGCACCAACTACAGAAGTTTCGACAACTGAAGTACCCACAACAGAAGCATTCACTACCGACTCACCAACAACCGAATCATCAACTACTGATGCACCAACAACTGAATCATCTACGACTGATGCACCAACAACTGAATCATCTACTACTGATGCACCAACTACAGAGGCATCGACAACTGAAGTACCAACATCCGAATCTTCTACGACTGATAAACCGACTACAGCAGCCTCAACTACTGAAGTACAAACAACAGAACCATCCACTACCGACGCACCAACAACAGAATCATCTACTACTGATTCACCTACAACCGAATCATCTATTACTGGTGCACCAACTACTGAGTCATCTACTACTGATGCATCAACAACAGAATCATCTACTACTGATGCACGAACAACCGAACCATCTACTACAGATGCATTAACTACAGAACCTTCCACTACCAATGCACCAACATCCGAATTTTCTACGACTGATGAACCGACTACAGCAGCATCAACTACTGAAGTACAAACAACAGAACCATCAACTACTGACGCACCAACAACAGAATTATCTACTACTAATTCACCTACAACCGAATCATCTACTACTAGTGAACCTACTACTGAGTCATCTACTACTGATGCACCAACAACAGAATCATCTACTACTGATGCACCGACAACCGAATCATCTACTACTGATGCACCAACAACCGAATCATCTACTACTGATACACCAACTACAAAGGTATCGACAACTGAAGTACCAACAACCAAATTTTCTACGACTGATGAACCAACAACAGCAGCATCAACTACTGAAGTACAAACATTGACATTGACTACTGTAGCTCCAACTACCAGTTTCGGTATTGTAGTTGATATTTATGTACATATTTGTGGCATGTTGTGGCGAAATGGTTAAGTTGTCGCACAGGCCAGTATTGAGTAAATGAGCTTTAAAATATGGGAGCTCAAAAAATTGCCTAAAAATCAAATTTTTTTTTTTCACTATAAATAAACAGTTTAATGTGTTATTAATCATGTCCCAAAGTATTAGTTCTGGAAGTGGTCAACAAATTGTTTATTTAATGTTATTTAGATAGTTAATTATATTAAACAATGTATGCACAAATAACTTTGGAAGGCAATTACTCAAAATCATGTTTATCTTGATAAGAGTGCTGTACTGTAAGAGTGCTGTACTTTCACTTTCAAATAACTTCGGCTTGAAATGTCCAATTTGAATGAATGACCCCTCATTTTAAAGATCATATACTCAGGTATCTGAAAATACCAATAACTTGAATTTCAATTTTTGCTACAACTTAGCCATTTTGCCACAACATGCCTCATTTATATAACTATTGAATTTTTACTTTATTAAGAATTGGTTTGTTAGTAAACTATTTTTTAATTTTATAATTTTATTTTCCAGTATCAAACTTGTTGTCGTATGGCGAAGATATTGGGGATATGTCGCTCCGTAATGTCCATTTTAGCACGGATACTGAATCAGTGCACTTTGATTTTATATCCAATACGTTTGTACCTCCAAACGGTTTTCCATTTGGAACTGATTTTTTTCATCAGATATATGTAAGTTTTCTTACACACAGTTATAGCTTATATCTAAATCAAAACATAAAATGAATGTTATACTATTTTTTTTTATATATATTTTTAGATTATTTACAAATATTTAGATCATTTTTAAGCATCACATAAGATAAAATAAGTTAATATATATATATATATATATATATATATATCTACATACATGGTGATGGTTTGCGACAATATTAATTGATGGTTTTAAACCAATTTTCCTATCAATTAAATATTTTGGTGGGCTTTAGTTTACAGAAAATGGAGTATTCATCTTTCAACAAGTTGGTGACATTGTAATGACAAATGCTCACCCTAACTTGGAAAATCAAATCGCTTTCGTTGCTCCCTTTTGGGCGGATGGGGATTTAGGTGATAATGGTGATGTATATTTTCAGGTATCTGTATATATCCAATCATACATGTATTCAGTACTATTAAACATATATAGTATTCTATCCCGTTTTCCTATGTTTTTGCTCTGTGTTGTTTTGACCTGCACTTTGGTCACCTTCCATGCTAGGATGTTTTCAAGCTTCCAACAAAAGAGCACATCAAAGATGGGCCTAATACAGAATGACCTCATTTTACGTACTTTGAAATATTTAAATATGGGTAATTAAAATATTATGGTAATGCAATTTGCATTTTCTACTTTACAAAATAGCTAGAGCTATGTTAGACATACCATTACTGTAAAATGAATTAGCAAGTCTCTTAACCTTACACAAGCTACAAACTAAAACACACTAATCTCCTCAGTTTTCGGGTTCTTTAACATCATGTTAAGTACTCTGAATATGACGCTTGTTGTTACGACTGCAGTTGTAGTTCATGTATCAATGACTTCCGGTTTGTTCTAAATTTTTTTTTTCATAATTTTCTTTAGAATGATATCATTTTTGTTTTTAGTGTTTTTTTTTTATTTACCTTTATTTGTTTTATGAATATTATTATTTTTTTCTAATTTGAACATCAATTTTCATTATGGAAATGAAGAAAAGCTCTGCTATGCTTTACAGATACACAGGAAGTCTAGCTGTTATTTTTATCCATATCAATATAAGCATATGATTTGTAATTTGTACACTATTATCCGCTATTATCTAGGAATTTTTTGAATCGAATTTGGAGGACTCGGAGATGATTAATGCGGTTGCAGAGGATATAAACAACTCACCCCAGGCTATTAATAATCATAACTTTCGACCAACTTGGATGCTGATTGCTACCTGGTCAGATATACATCAAAGGCCGTACGAAAACAATACACAACAGGTAAGTATTGCGAATATAGTATAGATTTTACAATGCTATTACTTTATTATTATTTATCATCATCATCTTCATCATCATCATGGAAAGTTAAACAATAATTGAAATTATGTGTTAAAAGGCAAATAGAAAAGCCAATATTCACAGCTCGCATTGAGGTTTGGCATCGCTAGAAATCTGAGAGAGTGGCATTGGTTTTAACTTAGTAAAGGAAAGCCAAAACCATGGCATGGTTTCCAGTTTGGCAGGAAGTGCTTTTTTTTCTGCAGCACACATAAGAAATATAGAATTTCTAAAGAGCACTTTGCAAGAAAATTCAATTGATACAACAGCCTATAGTAACCAGTGCTGTTAATAACCCACCTTATAGCTAGTAACTTACTGATTTTAATAACCCATACTATCGTATAAAGCCAGTGCTCATAATTAATAATCCAACCTATGAATTGCAACCCAGTGCTCTCTTAATTGCCCACCCTACTGAACTAACATGCGAAAGCTTTTGTGAGTCTTCTGATTTTAATTTATGAGTATGTCTGACATCATCGTAGGCTTTCTATGTTTTGATTGGCTAAAAGTAATCTATATTAATTATGTGTACTGCAGAAAAAAAAATATGCTGGTGGCGGGAAATGTGCTGCTTGGTTTAGGTCTTATTAAACATTGACAACCAAATCACTGATAACAGATCCGATATCTTGATGTACAGTATCGTGTTTGTGAATTTCTATATCTTCTCCATTTGGAATGCCAAGATGGTACAGTGGCTCTTGGATCTTGTACGGATATCTCGTCCTGTTTCACCAATGTAAACTTTTCTATATTTATATGCAATCCGATAAACTCCTGACTGGCTCTGTGCTAGTGGTTTATCCTTGTGTTTGAAGAATCTGGGATATTTTGTTGGGTGCACTAGGAAATACTTTAATATTGGCTTGTAGAATGCGTTGAATACGATGTGAAACTGTCCCAAATATGGTATACATACAGACTTTCTAGATTCTCTATCATCTTGCCTATTTTCGTGTTTAGTAAATATACTTAGGCCTATACAGAATTTCATTTGACTGCTTTTCTTTATTAAATAAGATCTTATCAACACGCTTGTTATGATTGTTCTTTGATGAGATTATGTAGTCGAATATCAGAAAATATATTATACATAGTATATAATTAACATTATTTCAGACCGACACCTTCCAAGGCGTCCTAGCTACAGATGGCACATACAGTTTCGTTCTGTTTAATTACGAAAACGATGGCATGAAATGGAATGGGAATACCGAGAGTCCAGCGGATGCTTTAATCGGATTCAGTGCAAACGCAAACAGTGACTTTACATTGATACTTAATCCAAATGGGACTGATTCATTCACTCTAACCAGGCCATCGCCAATAACGATTTTTGAACAGTACCGACCAAACAAATTCATTGGAAACAGTGGTCTGTTAGGCAGATGGATATTTAGACTGGAAAAAAACACAGAGACAACTGTTAATCCACTTCAGAGATGTACTGACTGGTATAAAAGGGAGCCCGCTGCAGACACTTGGGTTTCGCAGCGTGTAACAACGTGTCCGTGTACTTTCTGGCAAGCACGTGTAGACGGCCGTTTTACGTGGGCCCCATCAATTTCATTGTTTAGCTTTGGAAGGGGACGTGGCAATGACGTTGATTCATTTCTGACTGCTAATAATTACGACCCAGATTACCTACAAAGAGTACTCTCTTCAACAGGTTAGTATTTTATAAGTGTAAGAATATCAAAATCATGTAGGCCTATGCTACCTGCACATGAATAGAATACATGAATACCTTTAACTGATGTATAGTTCATTACTAATAATGGCAAAAAACGTTCAACTTCATATCTAATCCTCCCTCTTTAATTTTTGTTGCTAAGGTTTAATTAAAAGACAACTATAGCGTACATAAACATTGTTGAACAAGGTGCTTCATGATCCTGTCTCTGTTAGCAAGATTATGCAAGAACTAAGAATATGGATCATAATAAAATATAGTACATTGGTATCTAATACGTAAGAAAGAGGTGATTACATTTTAGGAAAAAAATTCCAAATTCCAAATTCGAGGTCACATAAATTCTATTTTTACCCTCGAATGTAAAAGAAAATAATGGAATCGGCCATTTTTCCCGGTCTGTGTTTGGTTAGGAATTCAAGAAGCATCATTACTAGATAGTATTATTTTTATTATCGTTGTAGTAATAATAATATAACCATACAATTAAATTTCAATAGCATATTTTAAATTCTGTTTACTAATAGTATTACCAGTGACATGTTTTCAGTCCGTCATTCCTCGTAACAATGCCGGCGTAAGTTGTTGCTACTACGGCAATCAATTGCTTGAAGGGTATTTCGAAGTTCTAGCTAGCAGTTTTGCTCTACGGACCCAATTTCAATTCGGAAGATGGGGAATTATACAGAATTACCACGAGTACCTGCGTAAGTGAAATAGCTTCATAACAGACATAATATTGTTTTTTACAAGGTATGCATTAAAGACACTATTTTTTTGTCTTTTTGCACATCTCCAAAGAAGGTTACATTCTTTCAAAACTGAACATATTGGTATTTCCATTCCTGGTGTTTGAGGTTCTCAAATGGTTCTGTTCCTCACTTCATGATTTGCTTAATTAAAAAGAAAACAAAGGAATGCATTCAGTATTAAAAATACACATTCTAGGGGAGAAATGAAGTTTATTTAACAGGTTGATTACTGTATTAGTGAACCGTACTGCCTATTCAATGTAAAAACACGTGTTTATAATATTTATATTTTGAAGGATATGTACATTTTAGTTATTGTAGATTCTAAAAAAGTAATAAATCTTTATAAAATTAACAAATTTTATTGTGATTGAAAAATCAGCATTTTAACAATTTCTAGCCATACTACTTCAATTTATTTTAACCTTTCAAAACAAAAAAAAGTATATGAATTTTTAAAACTATTAGAATAAATTCCAGTCTAATTATTTTGAAGTCAAATGATTAATATAAATATAATTGTGTTCTTTTCTTTAATTTATTTACCAGTCAATGACCTATTTCCAAGATATGAATGTTGTACAGCTTCTAACGACCGTAGTTACTGCGATCTATACTACGAAAAGCGCCCTCCTGCATCCTGTACTAATTATAGACCACCAAGAATAAGTAAGATTATAATTTATATACTTTACTATTATAAAGGTGACTACTGGATAAAAGATAATTACATAAAGTATAAAAAGTATTAAATAAATGCAGACCCATCATTTATTGTGAGATCAACTGTATTTAAAATGAGTTTAATTGTTTATTTTTTCAAGGTTGGTTCTGGGGCGATCCTCATCTGACAACATCTGATAATTACACATATACCTTCAATGGAAAAGGAGAGTACATTTGTTCTACCCTTGATGATGGTTCATTCACGCTAATTGGCCGAATGTCAGACCCGCTAAGTGGTCCGGTACTGGCCACAATATTTTCGGCATTTGCTGCATCTTATTCTCTGGAGATTGAAACAGTGGTATAGTTTTTGCTTTTTTCAAAAGATAGATAGCTGGGCGTAATTTAAACTTGCCACCATATAAAGTATATAGGATATTGTTTCACACTATAAATAACAGTAGTATATAAATATATTTCAATGATTACTTCATACCTCTATAGGTTCAGTTTACAATGTGGGAGAATGGTACAGGTTTCAGTATTCTTGTTAATGGTACCGAGGAGGTCAGAGTAAATGATCTAATGGAAGGTAAGTCAAACACCAGGACGAGTATTAAAACAATACTGCTAAAATAGAAAACTTAACCTTTACTAATTTATCTAGTGCATTTCTATATTAATCTTTGTAATTAGAATTTTTCAATATTTGTAAGATTCAAAAACATTAGGTTGTTCGTTTTGTGCTTCCTCGTATTCTATTTTGTTTTCATTTCTTAATTATTTTCTTTACAGGAGATTATTTCAACGTTAATGATCCTTCGTTTTCGTTGTTCATAAGCATGGAGAACTTTACCAGTGGTAGTGACCGTGTGTTTGCATCTTGGGCTTCAGGAATAAACATTGGGGTTGCTGTTACTGAAAAAATGTTGGATGTTGTACTGCAGTATCCACAAACATACCTGGGTCGGACTAAAGGCTTATTCGGTGAGACAATACAGATTTCAACAAAATGAAATTACTTTGCATTTGGTAAACAAAATTTATTTCAGTTCCATATATAATTGACTGACCTATTAAATCAGTAATACATACAGAATTCCAATACCAATGTCCTACTTCTAAGAATTACAACCATCCATGTGCATAAAAACCAATTGAACAGAAGGTGCCGGTGGCTGATAACTACAGAGAAAAAAAATTATTTATTAATGCTACGCAAATTGGCATTCAATATTAATTATTAACAGTTATTAATTTGTCGGCATTTTGAAATATGCTGACGGTCTAAGAATTTTTAGAGTTTTGATAATGTCTCATGTCATCATTATCCAGTATACATATTTTACAGTAGTTTTGGATTTTCTTGCCCAAATAAATAAATAATGTCTATGCTCAAATAAATAATTTGTATACTACTACAAAGTAATTCAATTTCAAAATGATTGAATGACACCTTTAAGGTTCGATCTATTAAGAGTCATGATCAATGTTAAAATCTTGTTTTAACAAGAAATACATGTAGTTTTATGTCATAAACGTACAATTATTAGTAATAAAATGTTTAAATTATGACGGCCATTTTAAAATTAAATTGATGGTTACATCACTTGCAAATAGAAAAAAATGTTGCGCATACTTTTATATTCAGTGATGTCTATTATTACAACATATCCAAATTTTTACAAAACATAGCCAAAATATGCAACCTCTCATTTTTGCTACATTTTGCTTATAGGCCTACACCAAGAGACATTGTCTCTATACGTTTGCAATATGAAAAAAATTTGTTATGTATAACTTTCATTCGTTGTTGAGTATAATGACTATAACAAGTTTATACTGGTTTTTAAAATTTTTTAAACAAATTATTGGATGTTTTAGGGATATGGAATACTGATAATAATGATAACATTTATTTGCTACCGTAATAAAAGTTTATGTTTGTTTGTCTTTCGAAACAGCTATTTTTTTTCGATTTGAAAAAATAATTTTTTATGTATCTAATAGCTGTCATTTGTTGTTCCTAATATTTTAGGTATATGGAATGGTAATATAAGTGACGACGTTTGCTACCGTAATGAAAGCTTATGTTTAAATCCAAGTCAAAATCTAACAGAGCGACAACTTTTTGATGTTGGAAACAGTTGTAAGTAATAAATATCAATTTATCTTATCTTAGATTATTTTAATATGTAATAAATATCAATTTATAAATTGTTTCAAAAAATCATGTTGCACAGAAAATAAACGTGAAAACATGGTTTATGTATACACTCTTGAGATCTACAATTCATTTACTCTATTACTTTTCCGCTTTTAAAAAAATAAACGAAATACACAATGAGTTAATAACCAATTGTTACAAGTCTGATCCTGATATAGCTTCTTACAACAAATGGTTGAAATAAAGACAAGACACCTTAGTTCAACAGTTTTCTCACCGCCATTTATTCGAACTACCTTTTTATTTCCTCTAGAGGGCGTATTATACAATGGCATATTTAAATAGTCACACAATCAAAATCTATAAATATAGCATAGAATAACTAATACTTTAATGAAGACCACTCTCAGCTAAACTTGGCTAGTTTGCGTTTATTTTTATAGCACATTAGAGTTTAATAAAAAGTCAGAAAATTATATCCTTTTCTAAAAGGGAGTATGTATGTATGATTGAAAGAAAAAAAAAACAATCAAATTATATGAAGGGAAACCTATAGTAAATCATTTTCATTAGCCTATTATCATTATCATTATTATTATTATTATTATTATTATTATTAGCCTATTTTATTGTTATCATTATTATTTTATAATTATTTATTTATTTATTTTTATTATTTATTATCATTAATTATTTATTAATTTATTATTATTATCATTATTATTTATTTATTTTTATTTATAGTGGTTATTTTCATTGTATATTATTTATTTGGAAGTGGTTTTCGTATCATATTTAATATATAATAGCATATTTTTTGTCACATTAAGGCTATAGGTAATTGTTTTCAATATGTTATGTTTATTCATAGGGAGAATTCGAGAAGATGAATCGTTTTTTACATACAGTCCCGGAAATACCTACAGTGACATTAACGACTTACAATTTGTACCAATATTTACCGACGAACTGATAAGTGAAGCCAACAACGAATTTCTACAAAACGTTCAGGACGCTTGTGGAACGAGTAAAGAATGTCTTTACGACGCATTGGTAACGGAAAACATAGATATTGGTATCAGCACCAAAGAAACAAACGAGGTTTTCGAAGAAGACGAAATGATATTAGGTATCTCATAATGTAATTGTGTGCAAATATTAGGGTTTCCAATATATCATTTTTTGGTTATTCTTTTTATTGTTGTTTGTTAGCATGAGTGTCAATATTTTCGTTTTTATCATACTATAAAAATTAAATTTACAAATACAAAATCACTTTATTGCAATCATCAATATAAAAAGAGATTGAAGTTTAACATCAAAAAGGGTTTCCCAAAAACATGACGAAACTCACAAAAGCATCATGAAAAGAAAGTGAGGGGAACGGAAGTGTTGACTATGCAGGGAAGGTTACCAATTTTGGAACAAACCATGATTGATTATAAATGTTTTTGATCGATTTGTGTTGACCTTCGGAATACTAAATTGATGGGGTCTTCTAAGATTGTATTTAGATTCGCAGGCGGTAAGTAATAAATAGTTTAATCTATGATTAGAATCTTTGATTTTGTTAAAGAAATCCCTACACAGTCGAACACGTCGCTCTTTCAATGTTGGCATTTCAAGCAAAGACCGAGCTCCATTATAACTAACACCAGGAAGGATACATTTAAGCACTCTTTTTTGGATCTGTTCCAGGATTTGGCTTTGTTGCTTAGTAATAATAATATTAGTACCCCACACTGGTGCTGTATATTCTAGAATAGGTCTAATAGTACTGATATAGAAATGAACAAGTTCAGCAGCTCTACGAACTTATTTTAAGAAGTATAATCTAGTATTGCATTTACTGATTATATAATCAATGTGGGGCTACCAGGATAAATTGTCTGATATGATAACACCAAGCAATTTAAATTCTGAAACACGTTCCCGGTTACATTCTCCAATAAGGAGTGGGTAAATATCAGATTTGACTCTTTTGCAGCTAATCGTCATTTCCTTCGACTTTTTAACATTTTTTGACATATTATTGTTATTTGTCCATTCAATAATCTCATCAAGAATGGTTTGGAGCCCATTTACCCCATCCTTGCCGATGCGCTTGTAGACGGAGGTGTCGTCCATGTACTTCATACACGGCACTCCTTCCAAAATATCGTCGACTAAGATGATAAACAACATAGGCCCCAACCAAGACCCCTGAGGGATCCCTCCATTGACCTTTACCCATGGAGAGACAATATTGCCCAGCTTAACCCGTTGTTTTCTCTCTAAGAGAAATGCATAAATCCAAGAGATTAGATTACCATCGATTCCTAATTTATATAATTTATTAATAAGAATGTTATGGTCAATAAGGTCATAAGCCTTTTTGAAGTCTAACAGAAGGAGTCTCATTTCAGCACTCATTTAACAGACTTATGAGAGCATCGGTGGTGCTGACACCCTTTGAACAGCCGAATTGGTCCAAATTAATCCTATGCTTAAATTGGTTCCAAACCATCTCCCCGATGATTCCCTCAATGACTTTCATTGTAGACGAAGTCAGCGAGATGGGCCGCAGATCGCTCTCCAAAATTATAGGAGGGGTCACCTTAGGTATTGAGACCACGTCAGCTGATTTCCAAAGTTCTGGGAGAACCCCTTCCCTAATACTAGCATTTACGATGGCACAAATAGGCTTGGACAGGATATTTGCGAAGTCATGTAATACCCATGGGGGTATGCCATCCGGCCCAAGGGCTTTATTGCATGTCACCTGTTTTAATTTAGATTCAATAGTTTCACAACTGATTATCAAATGGTTAGGTATCACAGACCTATTAATGTCTGCGGCTTTAGCCTCAATGGGTTTAAAAATTTACAGTAAGGGACTGGAAAAAGATATTAATATTCTCGGCAAGCGCCGATATACTACGTTACATAAATTAGTAGTACGTATTAAATTTAAATAAATTAAATAATAAATTGATCACCATGACTTTAGCATAATTACCATCCTCACCTATATTAAGGAGGTTCTTAATACTTCTCCACTAAGACTTGGCATCAGACGAAAATTGGTAAGCAATACTTTTACGATGAAATTTCACTCTCAATGACTTCGCCAACCGATTGACCTTATTCCTAAGTTTCTTAAATTCAGCTGACTTAGGGTCAGCTGTAAATTACCATGGTACTAAAAATTATATGAAATTATTAGTTTCATTGTCTTTCATTGTTCATTATTTAGAATTATTATCATCATTATCATTAATATAATTACTTAGTTTCGTATTCCAATTCCCATTTCTTATCCCATGCTTATTTCCCTATTTTTCTCATTTACATCCCTTTTTCAAATCTCATTTTCATCCTCATTTTTTTTTTCAAGTCGAAATACTATAGATTCTGTTTTTTGAGCAGTGAAGTAAAAATATTCTGCACTGATTAATAGGCTTATGTAGATATTACATAGTTATATTAGCATTTGCAAAACTTCAATTAGAAATACCGAGGTGTCCAGTGGGAGGCAGTTCTATCTGTATTATGTTAAAATTGTTATTAATTGTTCACTATCTACCATTTCTACTAAGAGCCGACCCTTGTACTGTTACTATATTTTTAAACGTGTAATTTTTAATAACAATGAAAGTGTACTAATTACTGCATACCAGGATGACATGAGGACAAAGCACCGAAGTACTACAAAGTACACTTACTTTGGTCTAAAATGGCTTTTATTTAATATCTTCAAGGGCTGTTTCCACCGAATATTACTGACATTCTGGACATGAGCCCTATTCCGGTACTCAACGGTTCTCGACAGATATTTGTGAAGTTGGGTGATCCAGTTCTTCTTAAAGTGGTTGCAACCTGTCTCTTATACACATCTAGATGTGTATAGAGGGTGCTTCCATAAACTCAAGTAAGTTGAGATGTAACTTGTTTTTAAACATTAAATTAATGCTTGGAAATAAAAATATAACACTTATTATTATCATTATATCACACAAAAGAGACTTATACAAATATTTTTTATCTATTAGATGGCGAATTTACTTGGACACCTAACAACACAGATATTGTCACTGTCAACCTGGTTGTCTCCGATGGTACTCTTTCTTCTAGTATTATCCTGGAAGTTCGACTTTGTCCATGTGTAAATGGTGAATGCGACTACAACGCCTTACTCAACGGATTTGACATTGTGGACGATATGTTTTCTGTACGCATTCTAACAACAAAAATTTGTCTGTTTCTATGATATAGGCTTATACTTTAACAAACATTGAGTAAAATTGTAAAAACTGACCGTATGAAGATGATCATGGTGGTGGGTGGCCTTGTTTAGATTTTCATTTCGGACCAAGCGTTGGCCAAATAAAACAGTAAACAATAATATTTGTTTACATGCACTAACGGAAACCAAGTCAATATAAAACGCATCTTATCATTCAAATATATGAAGTACACAAAGTAATTTGAATTATGTATTAGGCCAACTAAGAAGAGCACCTACCTTCAAGTCAATGACTAATCAAAACAGAACATTAGTTACAAATTAACACAATATTCTGCAAGATTTCACTATGCTAATTTCTTTGTCTAAACTACTTATACATACTTATTTTAATATTTTAATAATTATTGATTTATTACATACTGTGAGACAAATTTCGTCATTTTGCTACAACATGCCTCAAATATTTAATGAAATTGAATTGAATATAAATAAGAAGCTTCCAACGATGCTAAATCGATGATAGACCAATTATTTAATGTAAAAATCTAAGTCTAAGTTTTTCTGTTTTGTTTTTTAATTATAAGTTAAACTATAAGTTGAAATAAGAAGCTTCCAACGATGGTAAATCGATGATAGACCAATTATTTAATGTAAAAATCTAAGTCTAAGTTTTTCTATTTTGTTTTTTAATTATTTTTAGCTCGTAAACTGTATCTGCCCAAAAGCATGGTCAGGTATTGACTGCTCTGAAGATTACGATGCCTGTCTCGATGATCCCTGTCATCCAGGTGTCACTTGTAGAGATAATGAAGCCCCTGAAGAAGGAAACACTTGTGGCATATGCCCTTCTGGTCTTATTGGAGATGGTTTCAAATGCTATGGTAATTTTAATAGTAATAGTTTAGATGAAAAATGACAATCCAACTCTTATCCAGGAGTATGTGTTGTGTGTGTGTGCTATGTAAATCATATTAAATAATTTTAAAAAAAATAATGCCTTTATTGTACACACATTTAATGACATGATTCGATCATTTATATTGGTAGGAAGTTAAGGAACGTAACACAGTCTGCAGATCAGGGAGAGGTGTTTCCCATTTTTTATATACCTCAAAAGTAAAAAAACAAAGAGTTTTTAAATGACATTAAATTAATTTTCACACTTTTATTGGTACTTTGTTTGAAGTATCTACAACTTAATCACTACATCATGTCACACACACGCATAGAATAGTCTACTGTAGGTCCGTATGCCTGTGTGTTTTTTTTATTCTTTCTTTTGTTAAACTATAAGTTGAAATATTGAGCCTTGAATTGCGTAATTGGTATGTTATATAAGGTATAAACGTACAATTAAACCTTTTTGTGAATTAGATACTCATCGATTAACGAAGAGTTAAATACTGTAATATATTTGTTTTATTCTATTGCATAGACCTTAAGATTTACTCTAATTGAATTAAAGATTTTGTAGAAAAAAGTAAATCAGTGCAAAAAATAATTTTTTCACCCTGTTTTTGGTTAGAGGTTATTTATTTGATCTTTTAAAATAATCTATTCAATATGTTCATTATTGAGTTTATCTTTAAAGATGAAAATCTCACCAATTCAATCAATGATTACATGGCGTTATGAGTGCTTCAAAATATTGAAAATATAAAGTGAAATTATTAGTTTAAAAATTATGAGTTCCACAATTGACAATTTTCAGCTACGTTGTATTTCAGATTATGATGAATGTGCTATGATGATGGACAGAGATGATACTCAGCCATTCTGTGAACATGAAGAGTTGTGCACAAACACACTTGGAAGCTATATATGTTCTTGTCGTCCTGGTTTTGTCTTGCACCCAAACGGAAAACACTGCCTTGGTATGCACTGACATCTATTTTCAGCTCCATCTAATATTAGTCCTACTAATAATACGTACTACTAATTTTCTTAGGCGTACTATGCGTCATTTATATGTATGCTATTATTTTTAATTGCTTCTCTCCACCCAGGAGTATAAGTGGGTTCTTTTTCGTTTTCTTCTTTTTAATATGATGTCATTTTTCAAAGTAAGATTAAAAAACAAATATTATCTATCTGAGATATGAAGCCATCTCTTAAAATTTGACGTAATCTAAGACGTGAGTATTAACCCGTTTTTTTACATTATCAGAAATTAACGAGTGTGATCAGCAAATAGATAACTGCGACATTAATGCAGTATGCAATAATACCGTTGGATCATTCACTTGTATCTGTAATGAAGGCTTTAGCGGGGACGGCACACAGTGTGCAGGTAAGTAACGCTAACTGACGTGGCATGATACATACAATCATTATATACAGTTGCATTCTCCGTCGGTAAATAGTCATACACACAGTAAATAAATAAGGGAGATGATAATTTGAGCAGTACCAGATAACCAACATTTAGCAATTTCCTTCATGAAAATATTATAAGCCATTTAGGGAAATTAAGATCAGAATGTGCTGACTTAATGAATGTCTGGACTTTCATCTTTAATGTAAATATTGTTTAATATTCATAACCTTAATAGGTATTCCTAATCTATTCTATGCTTATTGACTCTTTTAGACGTTAATGAGTGTTCTTTATCAATTTGTGGTGCGAACACTGACTGCATGAATACCGTTGGGTCATTCGTTTGTACATGTCAGGAGGGATTTATTGATGATGGATCCACGTGTAGAGGTAACACCCATGCGTTCAACTTTTTACCATCACCATTTTTTATATTTATGTGACATAAAAGAATTGATTTATCAATATACTTATGAAATAATTTAAAAAAAAACTAATATCATAACTTTATCATTTGTTTATCCATTAAAATTATATAAATATAGATGTGAACGAATGTGAATTGCGAACGGATAATTGTCAACAAATTTGTATAAACACTGATGGTTCCTACATGTGTAACTGCTCTGAGGGTTTCCAACTCGATTCCAACCAAATAAGTTGTACAGGTGAGTTTACGAAAAATAGTATATAAAATGTATATTGAAAAAAAAAAAGCTACAAATCCAAAGTTTTGCAGGTTAGGAACTTGAGTATTTTGTTAAATTCTAATAAACAAACTAATTACTAAGTTATGAGACACTAACAGACACATATTCTTAGACTAAAGATAGTGGATGCTCTAAAACATCATTGTAGTCTACAGTAAACTACTACATCCTCGACTACAACAAGTGTATTGTATTGGTACACTATGAGATAATATTTTCATTCTGTTAAATATGTGAAGTATTTTTCAACAAAACTTAGTCAGTTTATTGTATTAATTGTTTCACACAGAATTAATATATATCTTCATATCACGAATCGTGCAATATATTGAAAAGTAACATCGCCCATGTAATGTGTCTATTTTTTTAAAGAAAAAAAACCCATGTTATATTTCTAATTAAACAGCTGTAATTTGTTGTACAATATTATGTTAAATTATCTCCGTCCTCCTAACTGTATTTCTTTCAAAGCTGTTCAAATGTGTACGGAAGGCTCATGTACCAATGCAGACTGCTTTCTTGATGGCCAGCCACAATGCCTTTGTCTAAATGGATACGTGGAGGATATTACAGATAACACAACATGTATAGGTAGTGTAAACCAACTTTAAATACTATCTGGTAAACAAATAACCAACTATTTTGAAAGTAATAAAATCAGAAAGAAACAAATACAATTTTATTAGACCCTATATAAATAGGAAATATTTAAGAATGCTTGTGGGGACAAAGATCAACTGTAGATACAAATCTCGACTTTTATATTGGGAATATTTAACAATAGGTAGTTTTCGCTGCAGGAAGTTAACCTTAACTTAAACGTTAGTACAGCATGTAAGATCCTGAAATTAATGTGGTCCGCAACGCAAGATGAATAAATTATGACATCATCCGATAACGTTAAGGTTACCGTCATGCGGGCAAAAACTGCCTAATGCTTATTTTAACACTGCACTGCGGATACCGAGAGCTAGGCCCATCGTGATAATTTAGGTGCATGTCAGTGTCAACTCTAAAAGCTAATATCAACATTTTTGACACATTTTACCATCGTTTTATCTAGACGTGGATGAGTGTGATAACATCACTCTAAACCTTTGTGATAGGAGGGTTGGAAGCTGTAACAACACACAAGGAGGTTACACATGCTACTGTGATATGGGATATGAGTTAGCAAATGACCAAAGGACCTGTATTGGTAAGATTTTTTTTTCTAAATACAGCATTTTGTTTGTATATTATATTACAGTAAGGTGGTAATTATTTCTATGATAATTTTGTGTTTAATACATATAATTTAATTGCTTTGCGTTTTTAATATTTGTGTTTAATGTGGGGTAGTCTTTTTTATTTTAGCACACAAATGTCTACGCAAACTGCTCAGGGAGTTTTAAAGAAAATTTGTTATGTAGTACTAAAGAACAACCATTGGAAATTATCTGACAAAGCTTAAGAGTGTGAAACTGTCCTCAAAACAAATACTAAACAATTTATCTGACAAGTTAAAGTTAGTTTTGTGTTAAGCTTTTAGGTTTTATGAATGGCATTTATAATTTTGCATCAAACATCAAGAAGTCCAAATCTTTATTGCTTTATAGATATCGATGAATGTATTATCGGCAATTGTTCAGTCAATGCAGATTGTGTCAATACTGATGGTTCATACGACTGCGAGTGTCGTTCGGGATACATTGCAAGTGGAAATGACTGTATAGGTACGATTATGTGGATGCTAAGATTTTTTAAAACACCTAATCGAAATAATCATTTGATGTTTTGTACTCCTTATTTGGAAATGTAATTTAATGTGTTATAATTCATAATTAATTGATGAATTAATTAATTGACGGTTTTGATATCTTGTTGCATTTCTGATTAATATGTATTTTATTGTTCAACTTTTCTGTGATGCAATTTTATGTAATTTTAGTATGCTGTTAAATTTTAGCTTTCCAGAATATTAGCTTTCCTTAATTTTAACTTCTCTTTTATATTGTAAACTTGTATTCTTGTCTATTTGATTGTAATGTGAATTTGAACATATTTTAATGGAATTTGTTCAATATGAATGAATTATTATTAATTTTTCTCTGAAGTTACACACGATTTACAGTATACTTTTTAGTAAACTATTAGATATCGCACCCATTGTACATAAGACTAACAAACCAAGGATACAGCTAATGTTACTATGACCCTTAATTCTGTTTACTTGTTATAATGATATCAACAACTAAAAAATTTTGTTGTATTTAAAATAGATGAAATTCTCATTTTATTGTGACTGTTTAAATACCATACCTTTTTTCAATTAGATTTCAACGAGTGTCAGGACGAGTCTGATGACTGCGACGACAATGCATCATGCCTTAACACAGAAGGTTCATATGCTTGTTCTTGTAACATAGGATACGTCAGCCAAGATGGCGGTAACGCACGAAACGGAAGCTGTGTTGGTAATTATATACAGATATGCATTATATTATTATATTATTATAATACATGTTTGAAGAAGACTGCATTTACTCCTTTTCACATAGATGACAAAACATGAATACTATAGACAATAAATATACTTAGTACTAAACAATGTAGTGCAACTTATACTAAAAAGTACTTTCAGAAAGATTTGACTGCTGCAAGAAAAATAAACTAGATCTCTCTATGTTCTTAGAAATCAAGTGTCTGGTTGAATTTGTACTCGAAAAGTCGCATATTTCTTTTATACAGTAAAATGATAATAAAATATTTTGTCGCACATACTTTTATTAAGCAGATTATAGATGTTATATGTATAATTTTACAATAATGTATCTACTACAATTAATTTCATCTTTGTCAATCAAGAGGATGCAGATCTACTACAAATGATGCCTTATTGCATAGTTTGGAAAGGAATTTTTTGAATGAAAAAGAACATGGCTAGGTAACATGCCAATATATTATCATTTCATTGTTTTTACAGACTACGACGAATGCTTGTACAAGCTAGACAATTGTGCAGAGGATGCTACATGTAGCAATACCATTGGTTCATTTGATTGCACATGCAACAGTGGCTATTCAGGTGACGGAGTGATGTGTCAAGGTATGAATGTTAAATGGGTCCAGTATGTAGGACAAAAATATAACACACTCCCATGTCAAAATAATTAATCGATACCGAAGACCGCACGAATTGGTTGTTTTTAATAGTAATATTCATAATCAAATTGCATTAATTTAGACATCAATGAGTGTATGCAAGATCCTAACATCTGTCCTGAGAATGAAAACAGACAATGCATCAACTTGCTTGGCACCTACAATTGTCCATGTAATGACAACACGTTCAACGAAAGTGGAAATTGCGTTGGTATGTTTTAAACTTTACTCATGAAAATAAATAATTATGTATTATTATAATTAATAGTCATTGTATGATTATAATTAAAATGTTTATGTTTATATGTATGTGGGTGTGGGTGTGTGTGTGTAAAATGTGTTCGTAAAATGTTTTTGTCAGCAAATCTCCTTCAGTCTATAAGGCTCCTAGGTTTCTATCAGATATTTTTTCAGACTTATCAGATATTCTTACAGTATTTGTCAATACTTACAATATTCAAAATATATAAAAATACTTTGAAATAACATTGTTACAGTATCCTTTATTCAACTAACAATAATTATCAAAAATAAAGCCATAAAGGAAACACGAAGAGACATAATTTATAACAATGTTTTTTAAATTTGTTCAGCTGTTGAGGCAATTATGCTGCGAGTTGTTTTTACTGATTTGCTTGGTTGGGTGGTTGATGATTATTACCACCTACTTGACTTGGAACAAGCTATGATAGACATTGCTAACGACGTAAGTACATTTGTTATTATTTCTTATATGTGATTGTGTAAATTTCTATGTCTCTTACATACTTGTGGGTGGCTCAACATCTTAAAACATCTGCTGGTTGGAAACCCTCCTTGCCCATGGTTCAGTTGGTAGAACCAAACCTTCTCAGATCAGGACGTAAAGGCGTTTTGGCTTGTGCACATTTTAAATAACTCATTGCATCTTTGGGGAGAGCTGGCGTTTCCCGATACTTTATTTATTTCAGCCCTTGTCGTTGTGAAGATAAAGCTAAATAGCCCTCTATGCATAAATTATAGTCAATGATCACATCCAACGCAATTCAGAGCAATGACGATGCAAGTAACTAATGGGTTATTTTCCAACCTCTGATTAAGCTAAGGAACTAGTAACGATATTGAGCGTAATTTCCTTAACAAAAATTCCAATGATAAAATATTAACCAAGTATGTATTAGAAATAAGTAACTACCATAAATAAAATGAAAACTAATTGTTTCTAGAAGGAAGAATGTAACAGTGGTCAACCCACAATGTAGATCTATGTTTATAATTATATATATTATATGTATAAATTATATAATATATAATTATATTCTTCATATTATTAGTTCTAAAATAGTAGGTCATTTACCGGAATCGACTTATTGTTGCCAAAGTTAATAATAAAATTATTACTGTTTGTCTGCAATAAAGGCTACAATATTGCCACATTCTTATGACTACTATTAAAGTTTAACATTTAGCGACAGTAAGCTGCTATTGGGATGGTAATCTACATATGTATATTTAGCATTTATCCAAGAATAAATAATCAAACATCGATCTTAATCTACATCTGTAATAAAAAAAATACATTTTCTTGAAAAAAATACATTTCCATAGATGAATGCATACTTTAAAGGAACAGAGTTGTCAGCGAGTTTCTTAGAAACTGTTACCAATAGCTTCACAAATATATCCGGCGGTGCTGAGACAATTTTTACTGTAAAGTTCCGTCAGGGATCTGATATTAGTGAAGAGAGATTACTGCGAGTTTTCTTGGCAAATTTGGAAGGAAGAGATAAAGACTTTGTTGAGCCAAACAATAAAGTTTCACTAGCAGAGACGGCATCTATACTTCCTGGTAGGTTGAAGACATTATTTGAGTGTTTAAGATATTTCGAATCGATGTGTCTAGCTGGATGAATTATCGGTCTCTGTTGTGTTGTCGAAATTATCAAGTATGAAAAACACCTACCTAAAGTTTTAGTATAAATTGAATTAAAGTATATTTTGTTTCGTATTTATCATTGCTTTTTGGGGGGAAAACACCATACATTGCATTGAGGTATTGTAAAATGAGGATTATTTACTTCCCTAGTCAACAGTTGCAAGATTTATATAATGTATCCTTTTCTCCTATATTTTCTAATATACTACAGTCGACCCATGTGAAGCTAATACTGACAACTGTTCCGAGAGATTTTTTACCACTTGTGTTTACATTGAGAATGGCAACTACAAGTGTCATACATGTAGTGACGGATATGAGCTTACAAATAACAACGACACTTGCATAGGTAAGTATACTGTTTTCGCATTTAAATCCTTTTTCTGGGGACCATGATTATACACTATAGTATTTTTAAGTATTAAATGCTTTTTGACAAGGACAATACATTTTACAGATATTGACGAATGCGCAACCAATACTGATGACTGCGATGTTTCAATTGAACAGTGTATAAACGTGAATGGAAGCTTTTCCTGCCAGTGTCAACCTGGCTATAGTCGCGACAGTAATCTCACATGTACAGGTATGGATGGTTGTTCACAGAAGCTTGCTTTCCTAAAAAATCCATTTTAAACACTGCAATGATGTGATTTTTTGTAACAAATAAAGTCAAATTAAATTTTCAATGACATAAATGTGAAATGTGAATACTTCATTTATATTTATTTCTCCTTTGAAATGGGATTCCTGTTCAGAAACAAAATTCCTCCATGGGGCCCAGGAACATACAAATGCATAATCAAAATTGTAAAAAAATTACCTATACATTATTGAAAATTGTTTCTTTTAAATTTTGCCCTTGAATAGATATAGACGAGTGTGATGACTCCCCATGTTCCAATGCTAGTGAAGATTGCATTAATGTGATGGGAAGTTATAGGTGCGACTGCCAATCCGGTTACATCAGTGTTGATGGATTATGTGAAGGTACGGTAAACTTAATTGTATAATTTGTCTTATATAGTATAAAATGCACTGTATAATTTGAATTTTTACGAGACATGATGCGTTTTACAGATATTGACGAATGCGCAGACAATACTAATGATTGTAACGTATCAAGTGAACAGTGCATAAACGTAAACGGAAGTTATGCCTGCGAATGTCAACCTGGCTACAGCCGCAACACAACTGACATATGCACAGGTAAGGATGATGGTTTTAGGGCTTGCCTTCTAAATAAATATTCATTTAAATTCTTTTTTTTATTTATTTAACTGGATTTAAGTAAAGACGTGTACCTGTGTGAGCAAAAAATATCTTTCTAATTCATATTATGAAATGTGATATGTTCATGCAACAGGGGTCGTAAGCATTGCTCTCAGAGTCTCTACTAGAAAATAAACAAATTTGTAATGTAAATTATATGAAACGAAATTGAAATATTTTAATTTTTTCCTTTAAATTTTCTCTCTGAATAGACATAAACGAGTGCGATGACTTGCCGTGTACTGGCGCTAATGAGGTTTGCACTAATCTGATCGGAAGTTATAGATGTGACTGCCTTTCGGGTTATACCAGTGTTGATGGAAATTGTGAAGGTATGTACCAATGGTGTATTTTTAATTGCATATAAAAACTGGCAAGTATTGAGCTAATAATATTCAATTAGGCATTCAAAAGATCATCAAAATGTACAATGTATTTACTGATAAATCAACAATTAAATAACAATATAGCGGATACAATAAGAATACACATTTCCATTCATGTGACTGCCATTTGGCTAAACATGCAAGGGGTAAGTAATAAAAGTGGGTCGTTTACAAAACTTTATGTATAACTTAATTCATGTGGACAGCATAGTAGATCTAACTCAAATCTCTACAATGTTTTTAATTAATTTGTTACTTAATCGTTTTGCAAATTGCAACAGGAATAATAAACGTAAGGAAACTATTTTTTGTTACAATTATTATGTTCATTTAATATTGACCTGTTTATGGTATTAAAACTAATGACATTAATAATTATATTTTTACAGATATTAATGAGTGTGCTTCCTCAATATGCAACGGTCAGGGCGAGGTGTGTACAAATTTACAAGGAAGTTATGTTTGCGAATGTGAGCTAACTTTAGTGCGTGTCAATGGCATCTGTTCAGGTAATTCAACATTCTCATAATTTATAAATGGAAAATGTTTGTATTGAACGAATAAACCTGAGCTTAATCAACAAAAAGAGTTATTTTAATAGATTACTTTGTATAATTAAATGGGTAAGGTTTAAGCTTGGAGAATAACCCATAATTTGCAAGCGACATTGTGCTGAACTTGGGCTTGGTCCGTGACAACCTAGCCGCCATAAAAAGACTAACTTGTCCATCATTTAATTACACCTTGGCTGGATTATTATAATAGTGTTATTATAATTTATGTTTATGGCTTGTCCTGGAAGCTGCTGAAGAAATTACAACTCCGGTTAAATGTAGCCCAAGACTCATTGTTTTCACTCAAAATCATAAGTATATATCTCAACTCTGGATCGTCTCCATTGGTTACCCATTCATCTTCAAAATAACTTCAAGATCTTGTATATGTATACAAGTCACTCAAGTTTCACAGTTCATCAATTATTTTCTCATCTTCTTAAACATAATTAATTTTTAAAAAATTTGATAATACATTTGATAAACATTGCTTTTGTAGTGTTGCTTTGGATATATTTAAATAATTATTAGCCTCATCAATATATATCCAAGTGTATTGTCTCCCTATATAATTTAGGTCTCTCTTGATGCTTTAGTTTCCCAATCAGCTTTAATTTAGATACACTTTATGTAGTCCTATTCTATGTACATCATGTGTTACTAAATAATGGATAATTTGAATCCAGTGATTTGGTAGTTTGATAAGATGCTTATAATTGTTGTATGTATTTAGTTGCCCGGAGGTTCAGAGGACAGATACGCATTATTGAAGTCAACAAATCGGCAGAACTTGCAGATTGGGATCCGGCCCTGCTTGATAAAACTAGTGACAAGTACCAAAACTACGCTACACATATATGCATCATTGTAAGTTACTGTACTTTCAAAAGAATATATTTACAACATAATGTACATAGTACACCGTACGTGATTATTCTATTCTTTTTATGCTACTCATGCTTCTGTGACATTTTGGTATTTAGCATTGTTCTGACAAAAAATTACCAGGTGGTTGTTTGAGTTTTAAATGTATTAGATTTAAGAGTTTTGCTATGCAAACATTATATGATGTTGCTTGTTAAGCATGTTAATATACGTACACGTGGCCATCTAAGCCATTACATCATAAAACAATAGCACATTTTAACTCTATTTCGACAGGTTAGTGGTATATATGCTGAATCTTTACAAACTACAAGCACATTCTATGAGTGCAGCATTATTGGATTCAGAGAGGGCAGTATCATTGCTGTTTACGAGATTCTGTTTTATGTTAATTCAACGGATACGGCAGAAATACTCCTTAATATACTGCTCAACGAAACAGATTTTGAAGACAGACTGTACTCCACTGACAACGCAATAAGTGTTCGCATTGATCCGAGTGAGACCAGTGTTCAAGGTTTGTTCAATTAAAGAGTGATCCACTCGAGCCGTTAAAATAGTTAGTAAAACCATGATAGAGAATGGTTACGATTGTGGTGGTGATTGAGGTGGTGATGATGATAATAAGTATGATGATGATTTTAAACATAATTCTGATGACGTGATTAGAAATATGTAACTAATGATGATGGTCGTTGTGGTGATGGCTGTAATGCCAAAAATTATCATAATGGTTTGGTAACAGTGTTGAAAATGATATTGTTAATACTAATAATGGAGGTAGGTAAAGGTAAGGGTAGTCCCATACTCATTATTAAACGTAGGGGAATTAGCTGTTAGCCCATAGTACTAAACCTTGGTATTTTCTCTCAGAGGAAAGTAATACAATACTATACATCAGGAAAATGCATAAGACTTTTACCTACACTTAAATCAGTTAATTGAGAGCAAGTGTTTGATATCAGCTGGTAGTTTGTTCCAGACTTTAGTGCCAGCTACCTTAAAAGAAGAATTCATTTTAATTAATGTAATGTACTGTTGTTATCTTTTAAAATCAAAATGGCTAACTGTGCAATCTTTAATTCAAGATCTTCAATCAACCAATAATTCCGTTTACCATATTTTGCAGAGTTCCCTATAGTCTGTGAAGACGACTATTGCAAGAATGGTGGTGTTTGCGAAATAGACGATTTATATGATCCATCATGCAGGTGAGTTACTTACGTACCGATATAATAGGAAGCTTTCGAACAAGATGCGGCCAGTTATATGACGACCCAATGGAGAGTGAAGGCAACCCACGAGAGACCCGTCCGCGTAACTGAAAGTAAATTCATTTCGATCACACAACGCGGCGATTTGTTTTCAAATATTTCATTGCGCATGACTGTGTCAAAGGTAAAATAGAGTAAACAAACAAAAACCAGGAAAGAGCACTCAGTAAAACAGCATGTCCTCTCTGTATCCGAAATAGTGAATGTTTAAGAGTTTAGTCCGACCTTTTTTGGCGAAAATAGGAGTACTATGTTCTGTCTGCTGTGTTTCCTCTTGAATTACTTTATACCCAATAATAAGAGTACTTTAGCATTATATTGTATGGCTGTTTTTCCACATTCTTCGGACAACATTTATACAAGATTGTAAATATACAAACTCATGAAGGATTACTTCAATTATATAGCTGTTTATTAATTTTTTTTTTGTTATTTATTCAAGATTACCAATGCAGAATAAGCCCACACTTTAAATTTAATATCAATATCAATATCAGTATTACAACTTTCAAAAGAAGAAAAAATTAATGAAAAAAAAAATATTCTTAGTAGGCCTAATGAATACATTACATTATATTCTGTTGAGTTTCAATTTGCTGGTCATGATTGAACATTTCAACTTATATTCTGTCATCTTAGAAAGGAGAAAAACAATGATGACAAAGGGCATAGTGAATCAAAAATATGATTAGGCCTAACCTTTATTTTTGGATGCTTCTATGAAACATTAAACGATCCCTGACACAGACCAATGTTTATACTATCTTTATAATTATTATTAATTATTGCTATTTCTATCTCTTATTTTATACTTAAGTTCTAATGTTTGAATATTTTTTATAACATACATTGTGTCCTTTTTATGCTACTATAATAACGTAATAATTTTCTTCATTGTAATAATATGTAATAATAATACTAAACCGCTAACTCCAATTTATTAGGTGTTTGAAATACGCAGAGCTGTGTGTGTGTACCCACTGATCGGTACTATAATAGCTGTATTGCTCATCGGCCAATCCTTGTACAGAAAAAATTGAGGCCACTGACGCCATTTTGGGAAGGCCTAAGTTACGTACCATTTTAAACAAGTTTCTTTTGGCATTTGTTTAAATTATTGTTAAAAATAACAATTCTTATAAATACATTTTAATAATAAATTCAAATTTAACCTAAGAATTTTTTTTACAAATTATCTAACCACGATCCTATCTAAATTGATACGTCACTTAGGCCCTCCAACATGGCTTCGGTGGCCTCACTAAAACCAGCCAATGAGCAAACCAGCTATTATAGTAGAGATCCGTGGTGTGTCCCATACATGACGTTTGATGTAGGTTTAGCCAATAATAAGCTATTAAAAAGCTTCATTTCATTTGCGCCCTCAGTTTTGAATAGAGATATGTCAAAACTCGAGCGTTGCGGTGTACCGTACGCGATTATTTTTTCCGTACGAAACATTTACATGAAACTCCACTCGGGCCGTCTCGGCTGAATCGACCCGAAAATCTCATTGCAGAATTCAGGAGGTCAAAAGGTCATCAACAGATAAACGTCTACACATCTAGATGTGTATAAGAGACAGCCCTGGTTCACCTCTCTTTCGAATTCCTGGATTTGCCACTGTTGATTTATTATATAATTATTTTTGCGCTTATTTATAATGCGTCTATTGCAATTTTCACTTTATCCTCTCAAACAGTCCTAAGAACGTTCAAAGTGCGCTACTTCACAGGGGGATTCGCCCCCTTGACCCCGTCGGGGTCATACGTAATTCGCATGACGGCTCCCCCCCTTTCAAAATCCTGGCTACGTCCCTGGGTGCTGCTTTCCTAAAACGGGCATCTTGGATGGTACACGTACACAACTCTGCATTGCTTTGTCGCCTAGTCAGCACTCTAGCGCTATGGTTGCTTATAGTAGTCACCGAACACTTCAAGAATAAACGTTATTTATCACCTTATAACTAGGGCCTACATGAACAGTATCCCCAATTATGTATTTGTGTAAATAACATCATGATAGCAATCAAGGTCATACGTCTACAAATCAGGTCATAAAAAGCAATTGAACTATTAAAAATATGATTATGAAAATTTACATTCCTAATACTACATCATAAACCTAGTTTAGATCTGATTTATGAGTTCTAAACTTTTAAATTGTTCACACTTTGTACACCGACACTGCACTTCCATTAACTTTTATCTTAATTCTATGACAATGATCAGTATAATTAATATTTGTCATAGTATGCATCAATCATATCATAACATTTAACAATATTTTTCATTCAACAGTTGCTTAGACGGCTACAGTGGAAATACGTGTGAAATAAAAATAGATAGTGGCAGTGACACAATTCTGCGGGTGTTGGTAGTGGTATTTGGAAGTATTTTATTCCTCGTGGTGCTTCTGGCTTCTTGTCTATGCCTATTGTTCCTTTTGAAGCGACGAAAAAGAAGACAGCAACCAAAAGACACCCAGCCCTGGCCGAGTAGCATTCGTCATCCCGCAGTCATCTGGAACCCGACCAGGAACATAAGTACAGAGAGTGATTCTAATAGCTCATCAGAAGCAGTAATGGATGAAAGTGAAAATGGTCACATGGCCCATGTAGCTCGGGCTATTAACGCCATGTCTAGTCGCTTTGTAAGTCACAAATTGATTTCAGTAGGCATTCATGTAATATAATTTTATACAACTTCCACCTGAATTTGTATTTTTCAAATGCAAATTTTTGTTTACTAGGATAATCTGAGGCCTGATATGTATAACGATGACGCATCTAGTAGTAGTCAGTTCATCAGACCATACGTTGTCACTGGAATGGAGGCGGCTGAACAACATGTATGTATATCTTTAACTAATTACCCTATACACTTACGCTTAGGCCTATTAAACTGCAGAGTATTGTAAGTAGATATAATTGTCAATGTAGTTATCACTATCAGCATATCACCTTCAATATTATCAATATCATCATTATCATACTCACTACAAACATCAGTCCTTGCTTTTCGGTTCCTTCATTTAAAAAAAAAAAACCTAATAATAACAATAATAATAATTGTAAATAATAATAATAATAATAATAATAAGTGAATAATAATAATAATACTGTAATATAATAATAATAATAATAATAATAATAATAATGATAATAATAATAATTAATAAAAGCAACAACAGGCATAATGCAAATTTTTTTTACATTTCTATACAGGGTATCTATGATGACCATGCGCCGTTTAGCTATTTAGACAATTCTCGTGCAAGTCCATTTGATGGGTTTCCGAATCGTGGGTTTAGAACAAATGACCTCATAAACGAAGATTCGGGTGATGATTCTGTCAGTTATTACTAAGCCAAAATTAAATGGTAAGTTTACGTATAATATCAAGTAGCATTAACCTTGTTCTATGTTATGATAATAGGAAAGCTGATTGTAGATATCTTACCGTAGATGTGATGTGTCTACAGGATCGTTTAAGAAAAAACAATGGATTAAGGGTAAACTAAGGTGGCTTAGTACAGTACTTACCATTTTAAATCATTATTTACTTTGAACCATTTGCTTTACAAACAAAATAAAATTATGTTCAAAATCAGTATTGTGTGCATAGGGCTCCGAATGCAATTGATTAGTATTTGATACTAAATTTCCGAGTATAAAATACGCATATTCAATCAATTAATCAATCATCCTATCTATCCATTCATTTTATTTCGGAAATTACAAAAAAAAAAGTGAGATTTAAAAATGTAAATGCTACAAATTTAAAATAGAAATAAGCAATCAGCTTATATCATCAACTTAGCAAATTTCTGTCAAGCAGATCCTGTGACAAATTAAAATGACAAAATGGGACAAATGACCATGTGACCATGTGACAAATTAAAATGACAAAAATACTCTACCAACCAACACCGTCATTGAATGAAAAAACTCCTTCAACTTCTTTTGCAGAGTTGTAGTCCAGTCAAGGTTGTGCGAGTTAAACTTTATACAGTATAACAACGAACAATCAAAATATGCATTTCACTCCCACCGGGCATATGGAACCTTTTGACTTTAAGAAGACAACACAATCATATGACTGAATTTAAGAAATGACGTTCGCAGTCAATATCCTTTATAAACTGTCTACTCTGCCATCAAGCGATATTGAAAGGAAAGAATAGCTGTTATGCAGTACTTTCTATCTTTGTGCAATGGTTGTTGTATGCTGCAGCATCAGACACGATTAATATACGTTAATTAGTAATAGTCGCTGAAGTCGTTTTGTCGTGAGACTGAACCAAAACTGAAATACAGTCAACTGACCAATAGTTAGGAGACTCGACCCGATTTTTTTTTTAACGTAATAAGGTACAAGATTGTGTGCCAATATAATAACTTAAAGGAATACAATGTGTTTGCAATAGGCCATGATGTAAACAGTTATTTATTTTTCACAATTTTTCATTATGTTTTTGCAGTTAAGTTGTGACTGGCTGTTGCAACTACCACATTGCTGAAAAACTGTTGTCTAGTATTACTTTATTTAAATCGTACAAATTCTTTTGACTGACTTTGAAAATATCTGATAAAAACGATAGCCTATTAGATGCTGTATAAAAATATAAGAAAAACCTTTATCCAAAACAAATTGCTTTATCATATTTCTATTAAGGCTCAACAGCTTTTTAAAATATTTATGATTTTTTAGTTCGGTAAAAATGTTAAGTATACAATCATCACTGGCTCCTATATCCCAACTAGACTGCATGTATTTCCAGTTGCAAGTTCTGAAATAGTCTGTCATTAGTGTCATGGCCGTTTTGTCTACCTTTCCAGATAAATAAAGGTCTATAATTTTATATAATTTACTCATAAATTTCGGAACATTTACCAATCATTCCAATGTATTGAAATTATAAATTATTGAAATTAATTTTAGATAACATTATTTAGTAGTTATTATGGTTGAAGATCTGTGTGCCTATTGAATCACATTTTGCATTCATTAGGATTCCCAAATTGTTATGATTTTTATATGCTACTCGATACTATTCTTCTAAGTAAAATAAATTTAATTTAATAGACCTAATAATGATATTTAAAATATTTAAAAACATTAATTAAATACTATTGGAATCAGTACTTCATATATGCCTTGAATATAATTTTTATAATACGAATAAATCAATATCTTTTAATAGAAAACCATTAATAAGTGATTTAGATTAAAGGATTAGTACTGTATATTGCTATTTATTTTTATACTACAAATATGCGCTATTCTACTGTGTATTTTAAACATATATCATTATGATTATTGTAAGTATTATTTGTTTTAAACGCTAAGTTTATGTATGATACATTTGTATAGATATGCGACGAACAAATTATTTATTTGGATAGTTAGTCATCTTTGACTTTCGGTGATGTATTCATGTATTGCCTGAAGTGTTATTTAGGCAGTATTGATGGTAATATGTACACCGTTTAAACAGATCTAATATTTATTACAATTTCCTTTTTATACGATATATTGTAGAGGAAAGCAAAAATAGATTGTTTATTAAATTTTTATACTGATGACGGAAACCTAGTAGGCTAGATTTATTCATATTTTGTGGATTATGACTCATATCCAGTCAACTTTAATAGAACAATCACATTCTAAATATGGGTGATGCTTTATAATCATGAATTCAACTTTCGTTTTACATAAACTAACGAATAGGAACAAGAGAATTTACTTCCGACGTTTTGACTGTTACCAGCTAGCGTACATTAAGCACTAGACGAATTAGAGCTATGATGTCACAAACATATAGCAGGTACGATCATAATAACAAACGCCAGCCAGAGTCCTATGCCTATGCATTGAGTGGTTTCAAAACTGGTGTATATTAAATCTTCTATAATAGTTAGCAAGCAAAATGCAGCTGCTTTTTATAACATTGTATACATTTTGAAATGTATACTGTACAATGATTAAGGTTAATTTGATTTTTTTCATTCAGACAAAAAGATATGACGAGTTTTGAATGGCTTTTAGGCCCATCGCTTTGGCTTGGCCTATCCGCTTGACTGTGAGAGGATCGTTGCTGATGTAGGTGTACAATCAGCGTAAAAACTGTTTTCTGTATGAAAATATTTAAACTGTAGACAAACTTTAATTGCTGGATCGTAGTTCAAGAGTTTTCTTTAACTTACGATGACCAATGGGCCAAAATAACATTGTTTGTATGACTCCTAGACCTACACCCGTGTTAACGCGACGAGTCTATGCTCACTGTTTTCAATTTCCAATTCTATATTTATACAAACAATACGTAAATTCAAACATTTTTAAAACAAGTTAAAGAAAAAGTGAGTAAAATGACAATTTGATGTACAAAATTTAAAGCCGTTGTTAATTTGGTGCAGCGAGACGAGTTTCGAACCTCGGGGTTTCAATCCTTTGCTCTGTGCATTTCATATGTGTCCTTGAGCAAGGCACTTTATCTGCAAAGCTTATATCCACTCATGAGTATAGGTAGGGTCATGGTAGGGTTAAATGTCAAAATGCGCTGATGTAGCTGCTGCAACGTTATTATTATTATTATTATTATTATTGTTATTTTTATTATTGTTATTGTTATTATTGTTATTGTTGTTATTATTGTTATTATTATTTTATTATTATTATTATTATTATTGTTATTATTATCTATATATTAATTCTGTTAATCGTCACCGCGTAACTTCCCCTATCTCCTATGAAACAGGCCCACGTCACGCTTTGCTGACTAGTATTGATTTACATTTCGCATGTCTTGTGTTCTTGTAAAATCATGGACCTATTAATATTAACTTATTAATAGGTCCATGGTAAAATATATTTCAAACCAGTTACGTTTGTTTGGCTGGTTTTGATTTACGTTTTGGAACAGAATATGGAGAGGGCGTTTGATCAAGTCAGACCTACGTTTTGAATTTGAATTACATTTTAAAGAAATTAGAACTACATTTTGGGAAATTTGAACTACGTTTTGAAAAATTAGAGCTTCATTTTGGGAAACTAGATCTATATTTTGAGAAATTTACGCCTACGTTTTGATAAATTAGACATTGAATTTTGCAATTACATTTGATTTTAACATAGACTTTTGCTGCGTATTGCACCCCATAGTATGCAGGCAGTGCTTCCGAGATGGTATGTGCGCATGCTCTTCAAATTACAAATCAGGACCTCCACTGCCGATCGGGTATTCTATCTATATGCCTAATCTCTATGATTAAAGTTTAAATAAGTTTGCATGCATATAACCGGTGTAGAAGCAAACTTTGATTTATTATTATTTGAACTGAAATTTGTTAAAATACAGGAATAGGAATGCTTTTGAAAAGAATTAAGATACTACAACCATGGCGGTATTAAAAATAACATATATTTGTATTTTGACTATAGAACGCAATCTGATCCTGTATAGTAGTAGACTTACAAACTTTTCCACTAACAGGCCCTAGCATCAGTGGCGTAGAGGTCTTGAAATGGAAGGGAGCTGATGGGGGTGGGAATGTAAAGTGGGGATCGGTGATTAGGTTAGGGTGCTAACTCGCAAGATAATGTGATTTGAGGTGATTTTTAACTACTTGATAAGCATGATTTGTGGGCGGGGGGATGGGCGAGTATTTTTTTTTTAGAGGGAGGGCGTGCACGACCCTCGCACATCCCAGATATGCCAACACCTAGCATACCCTGCAATTTACCCTACGGTCCGCCACTGATGTAAAGTACCGTAGCTAGGCGTACATTATTAAACAAAGCTTTTGTGTAAATGTGTGAATGTTTTCAATTCGATTCAACGAATGAATCCCAACACGATGGCGTGTATTTCAGTACATGGAGTATGTATTATACTTTCTTATCTGAGATTAATTAGTGGACCTTTCGGTTTTATGCCTATCGTTTGAATATATTATTCTTGAAATGACAATGACCACGAGATAATAGAAATGTTGTACCTTACAGCACCTCCAATTTTACCCTGATAAACGTCACTGAACGCTCATGGTCACTGAACGCGGTGTAGAAAACCTTGAAGCAAACTAGTAATTAACAATGGTAGTCCTATAAAGCATTCTTCTGGGGATTAATCGTTTAGGCACACTCCCTTTTCAATTCACCATATACGTAAACCGAATGGTCTACTGATTAATCTCAGATAAGAAAGTATAATACACACTCTAAGTATTGAAATACACGCCATCGTGCTGGGATTCAATATTTCGACATTAATTACGTCATCATCAGGAATGGTCTTCCGTGGCCATGGGCGACTTCTCACACGTCACACAGGTTGTAAGGTAAGAATGGCCCCGGTAAAAATGGCCTTGGTAATAATGGCCCCAAATGACAGGTAGGTAAAAATGGCCCCAATAATAAAATTCTGTCTTAAAACTGATTTTTTTTTTTAAACATCATATGCATTTTTTTAAACTGAAATAATTTAGTTTTTAAAAGGAATCTAACATCAAATAAATTGCCATTTACATTTTACTTTTTGCAGGAATTACATATTCAGTGATAAAATATTCAAAGATAATAAAAAGCCATGAATAACACTTTTTATTTTTTCTTCCATTTAAATGCTAAAAAATAGCAACAGCATAATCAATAAATCAACATAAATCATACATTTATTAACACTAAAATAATTTATTTGTGGCCAATTTCACGGAAGCGGAATCAGAATTTTCCAGAAATTCAATCCGGGTATTTGTAAAACCCCAAAACAATGGGTTGATATTAACATCTACCGTAATTATTATTTAAAGGGTTTGGATGGGGTTCGCAGTGTGTTTGGAGGTTTGTGAAGTATTTGCAAGTATTTTTTCACAAAAAAAAAATCAACATTTTAACCAAAAAATAGGTTCTTATGAATATTTAATTTTCTTATTGATATACCAAGTGAGTCAATCACAATTTAATTGTTTGGTTTTCTACAGTGTTTTTTGGGAGGTTAGTGGGATTTATCAATACCATTAATATAGTAATAATATCTAATAATAATAATTTAAAAAAATACTTAGACCTAACAGCCGACCATACAAAAAAGATCTATTATTTAATCAATTAGCAGGGTAGTACTCCTAGAGCTAAAAACTAAGTTATTTTAGTTCTCAAATATGCATATGGTTTATGTTTGTTTATTAATTCAATTTTTTCTACAGGGTAGTTTACAGCATTTAATTTATTTATTTTTTTATTTTATAATTGAATGAGTGCCATTTTGTATTTATTGATTCACTTCTTGCTTATTACACTATTTACATATTTGAAGATTTAAAAACAAATATCATTTCTATTACTGGATATCTTCATTGGGGCCATTTTTACCTACTTGTCATTTGGGGCCATTTTTACCGGGGCCATTTTTTCCATCTACATTTTTTCCTGGGCCATTTTTACCGGGGCCATTTTTACCTACCACCCGTCACACAGGCAAAGCAGTGCGTTTAAAAGTTATTATACATTTACAGACCTAACAAGTGTTACGCAATAGACACGCATTTTGGAGTCGTTCACTATGGAGGTAGCCTCATGCTCTAGCGCCGAAGGACCAAAATCTCAGGCATAAATGTAATGCCTCCAATGCTCCAATTATATTAATACAATTTGTGACCTTCTTACTAAAAATTCTCCATCTACTAAAGTACTTCAAATATCATGGTAGTAATATCATGTATACCAACCAGCTGCACTAACACTGTATGTCGTTTTATAAGCGTAGTCTAGTCTGGATAAAACCAAGGGACGCGTACACACTGCAAGCTCATGCCAGTGTGAAAATAAATTCGGGTGGAGACTACCTGAAGTGCATGTATTCTCAAGTAAAATAGAAAATGCAGATTCTAAATATGGTGCAGTGGAGTTTTGAAGCCTCTGCAATAATAATAATATATATTATATATATATATATCTGTCTTTTATACAGAGAGAGAGAGAGAGAGAGAGAGAGAGAGAGAGAGAGAGAGAGAGAGAGAGAGAGACTCATTTAAAACTAATTTGAACAATTTTTGTTTACAAAATCGCTTTAATTGTTTTCCCTTTTCCCTCACGGGCATCTCAAAGGTCTAATCAAGGACCTATAATCTATTGTATATTGGGAGTCGCAAAGCAAATTATGGTTTTGGTACCTGATGCCCGGAAATGACACTCATTCATACTTAAAATTTGAATATTTTATCTCCATTTAAAAAAATGTTTACACATGCAGGGGTCCTGGCCGGCTGGGCAACCCACCCCACTGGATGAATATGACGTATGTCCTACAGTCGATGTCAGTGAAATTCAAAATTAGTGAGTGGTAAATAATCGAGCCCTCCTTTCGCCCTCTGCTGTCTTTAGGTAGCAATGCACCGGATGGCAACATAGGAGCAGATCCAGAGATGTCCGAAAAGGGGCCGCAACGGGTGCCGAAAGTGGGCCAATCGAGACAGCACTACTTTTAGGGGGTCCAGGGCATTTTCCCATCAAAATATGTGTTTTAGACGCCCGAAAATAACCTCTGACACGTTTTGGGTGATCAATTATTTCTTTTTCCTTTTT